TCTAAAATATGTAAATGACATCACGAAACGCGCATTCGATGTGAAAGTATTCCGTTGACCGGCGTATCACAGTGATATTATAATATTATATGGTCTAATGATACAGAAATGATAACTGTTTGTTTTTACTTAAAAATAATATGTCCTTGAAAACCAATAGCCGCGAATCGCGATTAAACCACGCGAGTGGAAAACCGGCGAAGACGGCGGCGGGGAGAATGAAATATAATATCACTTTTTGAACAAGTTTAAAATACTTAAAGTAAACATCAAACGGTGTATTGAATTGGTAGGTACACTATTTTTTTTATTTTTATTTTATTTTACCAAAGACCATTGCGACGTGGAGACCAGGTTGAATTCAAATTTGCATTCGGTTATAGTTGATCAAATGGCGCGGAAACTGTTGTTGAGCAAATTCAATTTTCCTTCATTCGTTTAAAAAGTAAATGAAAAGACTTTAAATGTATATGCATATTCGAATACGAACAGTTTTTTTTTTTATTGGTATTGAAGATGGTATTTTACTTTAAACGTCCCAATTAAGATGGTCCTTGTCTCAGGTTTCAATTACACTTTATATATAGATGGCAAAGTTTGGGTTAAATTTGTTGGAAATTCACTTTTTATACCACGTTAACCGCATTTAACGGTAACCCAAAGCAAGTTTTCAATGATACACATTCTTGACAGATTTCGAATGGCTGATTTAGGAAAATCATACGATCCGCAACCTGAAGTGAATCATAAAAATTACGTAAATCCAAAACTTGGAGCCCCTGGCAGGTGTCGGACAAAAAGTCTACATAGTTTCTCAAGTATTTATAATAGGTCAGGTTGCCGAACTATCAACGACACGCATACCATGGCTGATTAATAGTTCAGCGAAGGACTTACATAAGAACTATACCGAAAGTGGCAGAGGGACGGCGTTGTAAATTATCTGAAACGTTTTTGCAGAAACAAAAGTTTACCGTTGTTACCGGTGGAATAAACTCGTCAAAACTTTCATATAACGATCGCCATATTTTTCTTAAAAAAATAAATAAATAAATGCTCAAACTTTTTCCAAGGGGTGAGATTTGAACCGGAAGGATGTTAATAAAGTGTTTTGATGATAATAATAATAATAATAATAGTAATAACAATAATAAAAAAAATACACTTTGAATTAACAGCTAACACACAGACTCTTGTACGCGATATTAGCTGCATAGATATCTGTGCCAAATAAGTTTACGGTAAAGTGTTCGACATATCGTTTAGTTACGCCCAAACAAATTAAATTAAGACTGCACTCGGTTTTGGAAAATACGAAAAAGCCTAACTTCGCAGTATTGTGTATCACTAACATTCAAAGTTTTGAACTGTTATATGTATATGAAAACGTAATGTATATTTCTTGAAAGAAACGTTTATTTCGGTATAGCACGGCAGGTGAGTGAGTGTATAGATATTTGCATATTTTACATAATCCAGGGCTAACAATTTAAACTTTACAAAAAAAAAGAAATCTTAAGTAAGGGAGGGTGAAAGTGTATTAACGGATGACAAAAGCTCAAAAGTCGTAATACTAATGAAATACAAATGTTTTATATTAAGTGTCAAAAGTTTCGGGCTGAAAAATTCCTAAGTACTATTAGACCTAAACTTTGTTCAATATAATACTATCAAACCCTTTCACTTTGGTAGAAATGTTTATTGAAGTTTCAACACTATACGTTCAGATCCAAATAAAATATTTATTAATATAACACCTGCATATAAGCCGGACCAACTAATTGTATTGGCTATTCGATTTTATAGTTTTGTATTTTAATTTGGTATTGTGAATGTTATACGATTATTAATTTTCATAAGTATTGCGCAGTATTTTATGGCACTTCAAAAGTTTAAATATGGGCTAAAATGTATAATAAAAATGACAAACAGCGGGAGAAAAAAACAGGAAACAAACTTTGACATTGTTGTGGTTAGCTAAAAATAAAGCAAATAGATAATACCATGATTTGGCATATCTATGTATTTTGAAAAATTTTATAATTACAGGACAAAAAAGCAGATAATAAATCGAATGAAAAATCCAATATGGGTTTCATTCAAACATATATATATTAACCGAAATGGAAATGAATATGAGTAATAGTTGACTAATATTAAAATAAAAGAATATATTTTACACCTAAGTTATAGATAAAAAATGAAATACATAAATAATTCTCACATTGATAAAATATGATTGATATTGATATGAAAATAAAATGTAAATAATAAATATGTCAAAAAAACAAAATATAACAAATATTTAAGATATACAAAATCATTACTTTCATATAACTAAACAAATATTTACCTTATTTTTCTATATTTCTTGGTATTTTATGATAATATGCAAATTATATTGAACCCGTTTCATGACCGTTGAATTGTTCGATTTGATTTAGATTCAGATTATTTTAAATAGGTTCGGTATAATACTATTATAATAGGCAGGTACGTACCTACTACCTACATACATCGGAATAATGAGAAAATGTTGTCATAACTCAAAAGAAAAAGTCAATGATATTAAATGACACGTTTGAATAAATAAATAATAGCCTGTGTAAATATTATAAACAATATATTTCACGAGCGTATAAATATCGATTTCAATATTATTATCATAATGTCGTTGGGGCGTATAATAATATTATTATATAGGTAGGTAAGTATAGTATTATGATGGACACTCCGTGCTTTTTCAAGACAAATTAATAGATATGTGACAGATATAAATTAATTAATTTAAAATGTCCACCACATCATTAGAAAGAAGTAAAAAAAATTGTTTTTATGAAATTTAATATGATAAAATATATTATAACAAAACAAAAAAGTTGTTAAAAAATATTTGCTTTTAAAAAGTTTAGGTGAAGTTTCAAATCCCATGTGTACTCTGAGGGTAAATTTGACATCAATAATGGACGTCACAATGAATAAAAAAAAAAAAAAAAACTTCCCCGCATTTATTCCTCGTCAATTACAGTACTCTTTTTTTTTCGCGTGTGTGCTTTTGACGATTAGATACACACTAGTTTGCCACACGGAAACCGTTTTCCGGACGTGAATCGACTGTGAATACCTATATATAATACACACGTATAATATAAAAATCTATTCTGCGATCCGGTCACGAACGTTAAAAATTATCGTACAAGGTGTATGTGGGTGTCAAAAATGTACCGGGCCTAAGGGGGGTTCGTGTGTTGTTTCTTTTCCGTTTTTTGACCAACACGGAAACTTCCAAAAATGCGTCCGGACGCGTGTTTTGCACGAAAACTTCATAATATCCAGTTAGGTGCGCTATACAAGTAGAAAGCGAGGGGCCGTCAACGTCAGTCGGCGTTTATGAACCCAGAACGAAAAAACGGACTCGATTACCCGAATCATTTTTTTTTTACGTTTCGTGTGTCGCGTGATTGTCTTCGTGTAGATATTACGTAAGTACTACAGCCGATTCGTTGGTAGGCACGGAATTTTAGAAAAAGATAATAATATTTACAGTCAATTAAAATAAATAATCGTAATCCTCTGTAAGCCTTGGTCGACGACGTCTTGTATTATATACAATTTTGAAGCGCACGATAACATTTTTGAGAAGTCGTCAAGCCCAATCCCAAAGATTACAGAGAAAAATTATAATTTAATACGGTTGTTTATAATTTATTTGAATTTCTGTCGTGGCCATTAATTATAAAGTATTTGTAACCATTTCGTTTTTCAAATACACGATAATATATATTTTATCATTCCGTTGTCGTCCAATTAGGTGAATTATACATATTCGAGATTTATAGTAAGGTCAAACGTCTTCAAACTAAGTATTGAGTAAAGTTATTATAATAATATAGGTAATTTATAATTTATGTGACGATACAATATTTAATTGTGCATAACAATGAGAAAAACTATCGAGTCAAACGTAAGCTGATCGAACAGTTTCTTGAACGAGTTTATATACTGCGCAACCCTTCTTGCAGGTTCTAGCCATAATTTGATAATTAATTTTAGTCAGTGATTAACTGTTGAAAAATAACATAATATTATTATTTTATTATATCCGCCACTCGATACACCCATGGGAAAGTTCTGATATACCGTATTCTACTTTGTGTACTTGCGTGTTCCGTTTATGCCAAACATTATAAG